TCTTCCCTCTATTATGTGAGATAATTTACCTCATTCTACCTCTCCCTTTGTCCTTCTCCAAGTATAATCTTCTCTCACCCCTTAATTTTATTCTCCACATATCATCCCTTCATATTCAACTCACCCTGTGCCCTCCGTCTATATACATTCCCTCCAACTACCCTAATACTGAGAAAGGTCTCATGAGTTACAAATATCATCTTTCCATGTAGGAATGTAAACAGTTCAACTTCAATCAGTCCCTTATGATTTTTCTCTCCTATTTACATTTTCATGCTTCTCATGAGTCTTGTATTTGAAAGTCAAATTTTCTATTTATCTCTGGTCTTTTCATCAAGAATGCTTGAAAGTCTTCTATTTCACTGAATGTCTATTTTTGACCCTGAAGGATTATACTCAGTTTTTCTGGGTAGGTGATTCTTGGTTTTAATCCTATCTCCTTTGACCTCTGGAATATCCTATTCTAAGCCCTCTGATCCTTTAATGTAGAAGCTGCTAAATCTTGTGTTATCCTGTTTGTGTTTCCACAATACTTGAATTGTTTCTTTCTGGCTGCTTGCAGTATTCTCTCCTTGACCTGGGAACTCTGGAATTTGGCTATAATTTTCCTAGGAGTTTTCCTTTTGGAATCTCTTTCAGGAGGTGGATTATTTCAATTTCTATTTTACCCTCTGGTTCTAGAACATTAGGGTAGTTTTCCTTGATATTAAAGATGAAGTCTAGGCTGTTTTTTTGATCATGGCTTTCAGGTAGTCCAATAATTTTTAAACTACCTCTCCTGGATCTATTTTCCCAGTCAGTTGTTTTTCCAATGAGCTATTTTATGTTGTCTTCTATTTTTTTCATTCTCTTGATTTTGTTTACCTAATTCTTGATGTCTCATAGAGTCATTAGCTTCCATTTGTCCAACTTTAATTTTTAATGAATTGTTTTCTTCAGTTAGCTTTTGTACCTCCTTGTTCATTTGGCCAATTCTACTTTTTAAGGAGTTGTTTTCTTCAGTGTACTTTCCCCCCCCATTTTGTCAATTGTATTTTTAAAGGAATTGTTCAATTTTTCTTCTACCTCTCTTATTTGACTTTTAAAATCTTTGTAAGAAGGCTTTTTGGGCTTGAGATCAGTTCATATTCCCCTTTGAGATTTTGGATGTGGGTATATTATTGACAGTGTTGTCCTCTTCTGAATTTGAGCTTTGATATTCCCTGTCACTATAATACTTCTCTGTGGTCATTGTTTTTTTTTTGTTGTTGCTTTTTGCTCGCATTGTTTCCTTTTTTTCTGGCTTTTAAAGTTGATCTCTGCTTCTGGGGCACAGGGAGCACTGTCCCATCGTTCTTGTGCTGGGGCTAGGGGTCTGGGTACTGGTTTTGTGTGCTGGGGCCTCATGTGCTGGCAGCTAGTGGTTGTAGGGTCTGGTTACTTACCTGGTGCTGAGTTGGAGCTGGTGGTGGTGGCTGGTGTGTGCCTAGTGTTGGTGCTTGCCTACTCCACCACCCTGGGGCTTAGGCTCTCTCCATGGTTTGCTGAGGTGGGGCTTGATGTTGACTTGCTGGGATGCCTCCTGTTTTGTACTGGATCCCTTTAGCCATGGTAAGAGGGACTTTTCCTGTTAATTCCACTAGCCCCTCAAGCTAAAAGACTTCCACACCTTGTCTTTCTGCTGGCTCTACTGTTCTAGGATTTTTCCTAGGGCAATATTCTCTGGGTTTTTCAAGGTCAATAAGGGAGGGTGAGAGCACCTTTCTGCTTAATCTGCCATCTTGGCTCCCAGAAGTCAAAATAGGTGACTTTCAAACATTCTGTCTGTGGGCTGATAGCTCCAGAGGCAGCAGCTGCCAATTCAGTCACTCCTGAGGACTTCCCTATCTTTGCTGGGGTTGGGTCTATGCTGGCACGGCCTTCACAGGACTGAACTCTTCTCTCAGCCTGGTGTGACAGACCTTTCCCATCTACCCTCCAGGTTGTCTTGGGCTGGAAATCTGTCTCACTTTGTTACTTTGTGGGTTCTGCCACTTTAGAATTTGTTCAGAGTCACTTTTTAAAGGTATTTGAAGGGGTTTAGGGGAGATCTCAGGCAAGTCCCTGCCTTCACTCCACCATCTTGCCTCCACCCCCCCCCCCCCCCCCCCACCCCCTGTATAAAAATTTTATAATTATTATTGGTGTCATTTCTAACATCCTTTTCCCATTTCTCATTGCAGATTACTTATTTAAACTTAGTTGTTTCAATTGTGTGCCATTTTTTTGTATTCTTTTTTCTTGATTTCATAATATGTGGTTAAATTACCTAAGCCCAAAATTATATATCTGAGATATCCCCATTGCCTTTTGAAAATGAACAGGACCCACAGTACAGTGAGTTGTTAGAAGAGATGGACATCAGTGACTTCCATGAGACCCTTACAGAAAGAATTAGCAACTCTCTAAGACTATAGACTTCATATCTCTGCTGTATAACCTTCCACTGAGCAGAGAGGTGAGAGGAACTAGGTTTAAAACTCATGCTAGAAGTGTCCAGGGCTCTATTTGCCCCCTTCCTTTCCTTCATGTATTCTCAGTCTTCCCAAGTGTGCATGTTTCTTGTTATTCAGCCTTACTCTCTCTCCTCCCATCCCCCACCCTCGTGACTCACTGTGGAGTAGCATTTGGGAAAGAACCAGTAAAATGAGGTATCAAGAACAATGGACTAATTATTACTTCTAACAGGAAGTCAATCTCCTATTACCTGGGCCATTGGTTTATTTTTTCATTTTATTTACTTTTGAGATTACACATCATTGACCTTGGGAATTTCCAGCCCTAAATGATAAGTGGATAAAGTCTTTTTTTAATTGCTAAGGCAGGCTGGAGTACTCCCATTATAGAAATGAGCTCAGAAGAAGATACACAGCTACTTTCCCCAATCCTGTCAAGTCCAAATATTGAACTTCTGGGACCTCTCCTTTGGTCTTGTCCCAAAAGATACTCATTTTTATCTTGCATACCATATAAATTGTTACCTTTATCTGTCTGGGGAGTTAGGAAGCAGTTTATGTATTTTCTAATTATTTGTCAGTTTCTCTGTCTTACAGATTATAGGCTCATAGAAGTCAGAGATAGTTTATTTGTCGATTAATAAATAAAAATTTATTGAGGTCTTGTGCTTTAAGTACTGTGGAGATTTCAAAGACTGGGAAGATACAATCCATATCCTGGAAGAGCTTAAAGTTTTTTTTTAATGGAAGAGATAAGGCATACATATGAAAAGATAACATAATATAAGGAAGCAGGTACTAAGTACCAGGAACAACAAATGATGCCTGGAGGAAGGAGATATGGGGAAATAAGGAGTAGGCCTCACAAAGAATATTGGGCATGAGCTGAATTGTCAAACATGGCTAGTTCTGAAGAGATAGATAGAATCCCAGAAGAGTATGGAGTACCTTCTTTTCTTCCTCTTCATCTTCCAAATTCCTCCCCATCCTTTAAAACCCAACTCACCGGCCACTTTATCTGGGGGACTCTTCCCATGTTAGCTAGTTAATTTTTTTTTACTTCTCATATATCATTATTATTATTATAATCATCTGTGCATATGTCTGAATCTCCTGTAATACTGTAGCTTTCATACAAGGGCCTTTATCTAAACTTTAAAAGCCACGTAAGTGACCGTAATAATTCTCAACACAGATAATAGGTTAAAGAAATATTTATTGAATTGACTCAGGAAGGTAACATGAGCAAATACATGGAAGCTGGCATTCATAAACTATGTTTATAGACTCTATCCACTCATTTCAGTGAGCAGTGATGCTGTTAATAACTCACTTTTACAGTTCTCTAAGGTGTACAATTTCCTCCCCCCACAGGAAGGTAGGTAGTACAAGTAATTGTATCCTCATTTCACAGGTGAAGAAACAGAGGTTCAGAAAAGTGAAATGATTTGCCCAAAGTAACATAGCTAGTATGTGCCATGGTAGACCAGTCTGGCTGGAGGGGAGAGTTCAGGTGGGGGAATCTGTTTCTATGTAACTTAACTCTATAAGGCCCTCAGATTCTCACACATATAGGTGTTTTTATTTATTTGTTTGCTTTTTATTTGGCTTGGAGACCAATTTTGCCAGCAGAACATTATTGTTTCTTAAAAAACAAAATAACACAACTTTCTCCCCACCCCAGCGCACACACACACACACACACACACACACACACATATACATGTACTTGCACATGGAAGAAGCACAAAAGCACAAAAAAAAAGCTCAGAGCACAGAAGTTATAAAGCTTTTCATATTCTGTAATCCACTTTTACAACCCCCTTAAAGGGTGTTTTTTTAAAAGCATCATGTTCCCTTATCTATGTAAAAAATCCAAAACTTGGTTTAAAAAAAGGCAGAATTCTATTTGATATGGAAATTTCCTTGGTTGCTGATTGGTGACCTTTGCCATGCCATGTGATGACTCATCAAAGCCTGTGAGGTCCCAAGGGATGCTTCTTGTTGAAGAGTCATTATTTTAACATTTTCATATGCTATTAAAAATACAAAGCCATACACACACACACACGTCTACTTTTATAAAGAAGAAATATGTCTCTATGTAAAAATACATATATTTATACATGAGAAAAATGTATTTGTGTGTAGACATATTTTTACACAATATATCTATATATGTATATATATAGACACACACACATATATATGTTAAATATTTTCTCATGTATAAAAAAAAACAGGACAAAAGTAGACTTTGAGATAAAAAGGTCAAGAAGTGAGATAGAAAAATCCTCTTAAAAATGTATCTAAAAGACTAAGAATTAACTTTACTATCCAAAAGACTAAGTTCTAGACAAGTTGCCCCTGTGTTTTGAGAGATATTTTTCCAAAATTTTGAGTCCAGAGATTATTGGTGGGACTTATCAATACCCAGGACATCCTATGATCTGAATCATTCTCACTCGACCTTTTTAAAATTGTAAAAGCAACCAAAGAGACTTTCATGTCTAATTCTCTCTATAGGAAATTTCTACTTAAAAGAACACTGTGAAAAAATGCTGGAATCATCTCTTCGCCTCTCCCCTACCCATGTTCAACAAACATGTAACACCTGCATGTTAAAGGAATAACTACCAGGTGTTGTTGAAGGTAACACAGAATGTCCCTCTCTTCACCCCTCAAAGGTACAGGATGGGTCCAGTGGGTGTCCAGAAATAGAGGGTGTAGAGGCTTTGGCCATTCTGGCTCTAAGCAGGATGCAGCTGGCTGTCTCTAATTGGTAAGTGGAAAGGAAGGCTTGGCTTAGGTCATAAGCCAAGATAAGTGTTTGAAGAGCATTTTGATTAAGGTAAATCTTAATGATGAAGAAAACCCTTAGATGGCAAGAAGGAACCTGGGGTCATATTATTGGTAGAATAGCTATTGCAGGGTCCTGGGAGGGAAATTTCTACTTTTAGAGGTAAAAGTGAGACATATGGAGAGCCTGTATTAACAGTGCCCTTCCCACTGTTAATACAGGTTCTCAATATGTCAAGTGGTACATGCCAGTGTGTGACTCTCATCTACAGAGAGAGAGAGAGAAAGAGAGAACACAGAACCATTCAGAAGGGTACCAACTGATTGCCAACAAGCTTGTAAATTGTCCAAGGGTTCTAGCCTTTCTACTGCCAGAACAGATCTAGGATCAGCATCCTCTTTGTTCCTATACATATGGGACTTTTGGACCAGGAATTATCCTCCTGTGAGTGGAAGATAAATAAGATTGTTTGTAGGGGTCAGCTGCTAGGGAAGGGAAGGGGAGATGTACATTCTCTTTGTTTCTGTGGGTAAAGTCAGCTGACTCTTACCGCAGATATTATTATCAGGCTGGAATAGATCAAGAGAAACCAGTTGTTCATATCTTTCTCTGCTGTTATACTGCCCTAGCCAGGGTTTACACCCTGGCTTTTGTTTCACATCTGTTCTTGGCTTGGGTTAAAATTATGTCTTAGTTAAAGATCTCAGCAGAATGAGGCTCTTCCCTCTGAAGTTATTTATGGAGGGGTGAGGGGGTGGGGGGTGAGGCATGCTCTTGTGCTCTACAGCTTCAGGTACATGGGCATGTTACTTTGCACTTTCTTTTGGTTACTCAACGGGACTTCTCTAGAAGACATACTTCCACTTTTGTTCATTTCCTTTAATAAATCATTCAAAAAGGATCTACTCGATGTACTAGAGACTTTCTTTCATGACACTTCTTGGAAGGTAGTCATTGTTGTAAGATGTTATAGCCACCAATACATCCCTCTATTGTTGTTATTTTGGTCACCTATGATTTAGATTCTTAAGAAATAATGTGTATATAACCATATAGCTATGGTAGGATACTAATGTTAAAAAGGATGCATTTTGTGTAGGAAAAGCAACTTGGGATTATTAAAAATGCTACACAAATTCCTAAATGCAATCCAGCAAGATCTTCCCTGTTTTCAGTTCTGGGCTTAGTCCATAATTCATTTGTAATGCCTATCTCAGATATGGTAACTAATGGACTAACTCAATGGTCTATCCAACTACATGTCATAATCTGGGTGACAGCCATTTTCTTTTTAATTTTTTTTAATTTATGGAATAAAACAAACATTTCCGTACATAGTACTTACTTTTTTGATTGTCCTTGCAGGAAGTAGATTACTGTTTTGGCCTTTTTGATCATCGTTCTGTCTGGTGCTTTTTTAGATCTTTACTGAGGTGTTTACGGGAGAGTTGGGCTTACCTACATCATTTCATGTTTCTGTTTTAACCACTTCCACTTCCTCATGTAGCTTGTAGTGGGGTGTGATAGTCTAAATATTGTGGTTCCACTGTCATCAATAATTAAAATAGCTCACTTAAAGGAAAGAGACGTAATCTATTTCATTTTGGGTCTATTTGTTGTCTTTCTTTACAATTTCATTTGCAAGTTTTTGAGATGACTAGCTTAGTTGGGTCTGACATTAAATTTTCTACAGGCTTGTTTTCTTCTCTATTGCTTTTTACTGTTTTTGTAAGGTGATACTGCTGGAAATCTTCAATCATTTTCCTCCATAACATTTTGCAAATGAATTTGTAATATGAGCTAATGTTTCCTTTGGTTGTCACATCCCTCTGCTTGGTAAGAACAAACATTTGATACTGAAGGGCTTTTGTGACTTCCTTGTTTCGGTGACCATTTTACCTTGGTTAATCTTCTCTAAGGAATATTAATAATCAGATAGGAATAATAGTATAGGAATAGTAATAATCAGCAATAATTTCTAAACTTTTGTCTATTTGCCATTATGTAGTCAGTACTTTGATTAGTTTGCAACAATCATAATTACGTGAAGCAATTTCTTCTCATTGTTACCCATTCTTCTGATTTAGTGTCAATTTTAATCTTAGATCTAATTGTCAATGATATAACTACACACAGCTACCTCTAAAATGGCGTTCACAGAAGAAACAAAGCTATCACTCTTCGCAGGTGATATGATGATATACTTAGAGAATCCTAGAGAATCAAGTAAAAAACTACTCGAAATAATAAACAACTTTAGCAAAGTTGCAGGCTACGAAATAAAGTGACATAAATCATTGGCATTTCTATAAATTACCAACAAGGTCCAACAGCAAGAGATAGAAAGAGAAATCCCATTTAAAGTTACTATAGACATTATAAAATACTTGAGTCTACCTACTGAAACAAACCCAGTAACTATATAAACATAATTATGAAACATTTTTCACACATATAAAGCCAGATCTAAATAATTGGAAAAACATCAGTTGCTCATGGGTAGGCCGTGGGAATATAATAAAAATGACAATTCTACCTAAATTAATTTACTTATTCAGTGCCATACCAACCAAACTACCAAAAAATTATTTTGTAGAGCTAGAAAAAATAATAACAAGATTCATTTGGAAGAACGAAAGTTCCAGAATATCAAGGGAACTAATGGAAAGAAATGAGGAGGAAGGTGGCCTAGCCATACCAGACCTTAAGTTATAAAGCAGCAATCATCAGAACTTCTGGGTACTGGCTAAGAAATAGAGTGGTGGATCAATGGAATAGGTTAAGAATGCAAGACGCAATAGTCAGTGACTGTAGTAATCTATTATTTGATAAACCCAAAGACCCCAGCTTTTGGAATAAGAACTTACTCTTTGACAAAAGCTGCTGGGAAAACTGGAAAAGAGTATGGCAGAAACTAGGCATAGACCAAAATATTACACTGTATGCCAAAATAAAGTCAAAATGGATTCAGGATTTAGATGTAAAGGCTGATACTATAAGCAAACTGGGAGAGCATGGAATAGTTCATCTGTCAGATTTATGGAGAACAGAAGAATTATGACCAAACAGAAGATATAGAGATCATTATGAAATGCAAAATGGATAATTTTGATTGTATTAAATTGAAAAGTTTTCGCACAAACAAAGCCAATGCAACGATTAAGAGGGAAGCAGAAAACTGGAAAAGAATTTTTACAACCAGTGTCTCTGATAAAGCCCTCATTTCTAAAATATATAGAGGACTAAGTCAAATTTGTAAGGATACAAGTCATTCCCCAATTGATAAATGGTCAAAGGATATGAACAGGCAGTTCTCAGATGAAGATATTAAAGTCATCTATAGTCATATGAAAAAATGCTCTAAATCATTATTGATTAGAGAAATGCAAATCAAAGCAACTCTGAGGTACCACATCACACCTATCAGATTGGCCAACATGATAAAATGTTGGAGAAGATGTGGGAAAATTGAAACAGTAATGCATTGTTGGTGGAGTTGTGAACTGATCCAACCATTTTGGAGAGCAATTTGGAACTATGCCCAAAGGGCTATAAAAATGTACATACCCCTTGACCCAGCAATAGCACTTCTAGGGCGGTATTCCAAAGAGATCATAAAAATGGGGAAAAAACCCACATGTACAAAAATATTTATAGCAGCTCTTTATGTGGTGGCAAAGAATTGGAAATTGAGGGGATGTTCATCAGTTGGGAATGGCTGAACAAGTTGTGGTATATGAATGTAATGGAATGCTGTTATAGTGCTATAAGAAATGATAAGCAGGCAGACTTCAGAAATTCATGCCCAAGTGAAGAATTCACCCCATGATGTCATTGGTCCTCTTCAAAGATGAAGGACCAACAACAACAACAACAGCCTTTGACACTGTAGACCACCTTGTCCTCTTGGATACTCTCTCCTCTCTAGGTTTTCAGTGCATTGTTGTCTCCTGGTTCTCCTCCTACTTCTCTGAAGGCCCAGTGTCTTTTGTTAGTTCTCCATCTAGGTTACAAACACTAGCCTTGGGAGTACTCTAAGGCTCTGTCCTGGACTGTCTTCTCTTTTCTCCCTATATTGTCTAGCTTAGGAATCTCATTAGTTCTCATGCGCTCAATGATCATTTCTATGCGGATGATCCCCAGATCTTTCTGTCCGGCCCTAGTCTCTCTTGAGTTCCAGTCCTACTGATTAACTGTCTTTTGGACATCTCAAGCACAACATGTCCCAAACAAAACTCATTATCTTTTCTCCAAAATTCTACCCTCTTCTCAATTTTCTTATTATTGGGGGAGGGAGGTACCACCATCCTCCAAGTCTCCCAAGTATGCAAGCTCTGTGTCTTCCCTGGCTCTTCACTCACACTCATCCCACATAGTGGACTGCAATCTGCTAGAGAAAGTGGGAAGGAATGGGATCAAGTTTGCATTTAGAGAGTTTTACCTTGGGAACAAGAAGAGCAATCTTATCACCAGATAAGGGGCAGCTAAGTGCCCAGTGGATAGAATGCTAGGCCAAGAGTCAAGAAAATCTGAGTTCAAATGTGGCCTCAGACACTTACCAGCTGTGTGACCCTGGGCAAGTAACTTCACCCTGTTTGCCTCAGTTTCCTCATCTATAAAATGAGCTGGAGAAAAAAAATGGCAAACTGCTCCAGTGTCTTTGCCAAGAAAATCCCAAATGGGGTCATAAAGAGTCAGAACCAACTGAAACAAGTGAATAACAACAACAAATCAGAGCATGGTGTGCTATTTTGTCAGTTTTCTAGACTAGCAGAAAATGTTACTAATGCAAACTAACCTTAAAAGCATATCACGTATGCATTTTTAAAAGTCAGTTGTCAAGCATTTACCA